GGCTGAGCACAGAAGGAGTCCATTTTATCAGGCGAACCATAGGGTAGAATCTAATTTTATAATAGCAGCAGACTAAAGTTTGCAGTGCTGATTTATTTTACCTTGTTAGAAAAAATGCATGTTTGAATGCTTTCACATGTTTGTTTTATTTAAATACCTGCTCCATTTTTACACATCAGTGCCCAGGATAGATAAAATACAAAGCAAACTTATAAACCAGTATATAGAGAGCAAGCAGGAAAGAAATAATTTAATGGAGGTAATGGCTTTCATCACAGATGAAACAGATCGGCTCAACAGGCCAAAAGCTTGTATAAATAAAAAGAAATTAACTTGGGAACTGGTAGTTCTCCAGAGAGATGACTCAATGGGCATTATAAGGAAAGATATTCCAGAACCACAGACATTTTCAACACATGTATTTCAGCTAATGGCGATAGGGAAAAAGTACCTTTTAAAAAATCTTAAAATATAAACAGGTTCATAAGAAAAAAAGGCAAAAAAACCAAATAGACCTGTTGTGATGAATGGTGAAAAGACCCCACCTCTGTTATGGAGCAAAAATTAACTTCATACTTGGCAGTTGAGATAACATGAGATAGTACACTTCAAGAAAACCTTTGTTGTTTGTTGATTTATGACAGCATTGAGAACTTTATGGCTATTGACCATGATAATTAACAACACTTGAGATTTGATGTTCAATAACTTCTCAAATATCATAGATTCCTTTGATTTATTATCTCATTTGGGACTTTGTCAGTCATCATTCACACAATTTTTATTATTTATTTGCTGGTATAGCATAATAATGTACAATGTATAATTTTGTACTATTTTGTCAACTTTTTTATTTGCATGTTACCTCAACAGATGACACAATTCTTTTTTTTTTTTTTTTTTTGTAAATTTTATTTGAGTTTTCACAAAAAAAAAAAAATACAAATAAAACATCTTTTTTGAAAGTAGCGTAATCCCGGGTTACATTTCTTTGTACAGACACAAATTCAATTTCATGCTCATTTTTATGTTCTATTCCATATCTTATTACTGTTTTACATTTTCTGCATAGCTTCTCCCCTCTTTTAATTTTCTCAGTTTTATTTTAATTATCTCATCTCAATTCAAATCATTATATTTATATTTTTTATTTGTCCTGTTTCAATTATCTATTATTTCTCATTAAACAAAGTTTCTCCTGTAGTTACTGATTGGAGTATGACGCCTTTATATCTTTTAAGTTTATCCATTTAACTCTTATTTAGGCTTCAATATATACCCTAAAGTTATAACATTCAATATAATACATAGCTTCCATTCGGATTCTGCTTGGTACATTCTTAAAATACACACTATATTCTTAAAAAAAGAAAAAATTATAAACATATGTAATTAAAACAACACATTCCATTCCAATTCAATTCTATCATTAATATTAATATTCATTAAAATCTTAACTTCTTTAACATTACTTTTCAATTAAATATCATACTTCTATGGGAACAATTATAAGCTTTCTATAATTATTTCCCCCCCTCTTCACTTATATTTTATAAAACATTAACTAATTAACATGTTCCCATCCCTTCCTAATTCAATTTTCTCATTTATTTTATTTCACTTATTTTATTAACAAACATTTCACTAAATTACACTAACTATTTTATCCATCATTTTAATCATACATTGTTTCCAATTTTCTAAAGTTATTTCTATTACTAATATAACAATACAATCTTATGTACCTTTACAGAATCCTTTTTTCAGTTAAATTTTCACCCATTATCTCTAAATAGGTCCTGTTTCTCTATATCTTGTTCCGGTCCTTTGTAATTTCTTTCCTTTCCTTCATCCCTCTCTTCTTCTCTCTCCCCTTTTTACCCCCTTGTCTCTCTACCTCTATTTCTCTCTTCTGTATTCCCCACTTCTGGTTGCTTTCCAGTATTATACTTATTTTTCCAATTATTTTTCTTTTCTTTGGTTGTTTTTTTAAATCTTAAATTCTCCATTCTCTTTCCCCCCTTTCCTTCCCCCCCCCATAGAATTACTTGTTCATTAAAGATGGGTTCTTCTTTGTCCCACTCTTCTTGTTTTGCAGACGTTTCTTGTTGTTTCTTATAGTTCCAAATCTCCATTTCTAAGAATTGAAAAACGAAGCCAAAAGAACCCCTCCCTTCTTGTGCATCTTTTAAGTTTCATTTTGATTTTTCCATTTCCATTTTTAAGTTCCATTTTCAATTCATCCAGAAGTAGTGCCATTGTATAAATTTTTAAACAACCACCCGATTAATTTTAAAATGCAATAACCAAGAATCCAAAGATCACCAAGTAATCCAAATACACGCAAGCTGTTTCTTTTTGCTCTTTTTTTCACTTTCTCTTCCTGGGGTTCTACTGTTTAGTTACAAAGTTTCAGTTAAAATGTATCTTTTAGAAATCTTGTTGAAGTTTTACTGTAGATTCTTTTTAATTTCAGGCAGTCTCCTCCCTCTTTCCAGAGCCTGCCCTTTTATTATTTTTCTCTCCCTTCCTGCTTAAAAAAATTTAGTGTCCAGAAATCTTTATTATCCCTTTGACATTTTGTTTTATTTTCAGCTTAATTGCCTGTTGATGTCAAAGCGGATTTTTCCGATTTCTTATTTAAGTCTCTTAGTTGTCAGTATAAGGAAAGGGAGAAAAGAAAAAAAAAACCAAACCTTTCCCTTTTCACTTTCCTTCGCTGCTTCTGACTCTTCTTTGGGAGCGATGTTATTTTTTTGTAAGTTTAAATTCCAGGGTACCTTAGTTGTTGCTTTTGCAATTTAACCCGGTCAGCCAAAACTTTCACTTCTTATCTTCCTCCTGCATATTCTTTTCCGGTCTAGTTCTTCTTTGAGGTAGCTATTTCTGACCACCGCTGCAACTGCCTTCGGGAAAGGGAGTAATGGCCAGCTGAGGAGGAGAGATGCGGCTCTCCTCAACCCTGCTGGCAGTCTCCCCCCTCTTCACCACCTCTACGGGGTGGCTTAGCCCCGAAACCAGCCGGCTCGGGGCACTCCAGCGGCGAGCCCAGACCGAAACCGCGCACAATCGCGGATTTCTGTCTGTCGCCGAAGGAACACAAACCGGAAGGGCCAAGGATGACACAATTCTTGTGCAAAAGCTATTTGGGCTTTGTGATCAGAAATTCTGAGCTAAATTATTACACAAGTGTCCATAAGTTGCAGATGGACTTGTCTTCATAGAGTATCGAGTTTTGGTCAGTTAAATGTATGAATTAGAGAAAAGCAAATGCACTATACCCTCATCTTGTAAGGGATGCCTCTTGCACCTGTGATGCAGCCTTGAATAAATCAGTTCAATTTTAACTGCAGGTATCAAATGAGAAATTTTACATGGATGAACCAGTCTATATATTGTATTTGGCAGAAAGGGTTGTGTTTATTTATGTAATCAATTATTTCACTAAGTGTATTGAGAGAGAAATTATGTATGTGTTTGAACTGGGAAAGGTATAATTATTTTAGAAGTGAAATAAATAATAAAAGCTTAGTGTCAAGATGTTATTCTAACAACAGATGAAAAGCTTTTCAGAACAGAGAGGGTGTGTGTGGTAGGGGAAGGGTTGATTACCTTCAGGGAGATTCTTCCTTGATTAAATAGAAATGATCAGCTGGAGTTAGGCTTTGAGGAGAGAGAAGGGAAGGGGAGAACCATACCTCCTTGAACATTTGATTCATCAGCTTTTTCTCCTGCCAAAAATACTGGGGAGGGAATGTTGTGCTCTAGGGTCACGCATAGATTGGACAGTTCAGCGTTCTTGTTTTTGGCAAACAGTGCAAATGCCAAGTGTAAACAAAGGCACACACAAACGCTCGCTGAAACCTCACTGCTATCCTTTTAAACCATTATAGGCCTATCAGTGGCCGTATACATGTGGCTGTCCTTAACTGCTATTACTCAGGATGTCACTTTCTGCAAATATTACTTAAGTCCAGGGATTCTGTCTTGTCTCTGTAGATGCACCGTTTAATTTATGAATGTTTTATTTTTCATGCCTGCATTCTTTACATTCTAGCGTTTGATATTTTTTATCCTGAATAAACTGAACGATACGCAGTTGTTTAAGCTGTTTATATATGCTTATATGCATATGTATATGTATATACTGTATAAGTAGAAACAGGAAACAACAGCTGTAATGATTTACTCTGAAGCCTCAGTAAGTTTAAACATAATGAAGATTGACAACTTTAAATTAAAAAGGGCAAACAGTTTGATAATAGGCATGTTATATGGATATATTAAGAGAGCCAGTTTGGTGTAAAGGATAAGGCATCATCAAGCTAAAAACTGGGAAACTTGAATTCTAATCCCACCTTGGAAATAAAGCCGGCTGAATGATCTTAGGCAATCACTTTCTCTCAGCCATAGGAAGGAAGCAGTGGCAAACCACTTCTGGAAAACCTTGCCAAGAAAACTGCAGGGACTTGTCCCAGCAGGCTCCTAGAATCAGACAGGATTGAACAATAGGGGGAGTGGGATCAGATTTTACTTTCATACCTATTAGATAGGAATGCTATGTCTGGTTTGGGGAAGCCCTGACAAAGCCCCCGTGAATCCAAAAGTGGTTAACCTTCTGCTGGTACAAAAAAATTGAACCTGTTTTAGATTTCTTCTTCACAGCCAGGTGACTTTATTTAAACTTTCCTGCCATTAAAATAAATAAAAGTCGTGCTTGAGAACTAGAAGGTATGTGGGCCTACCCACAAACCAAACCCCATTTTCACTTTTCAAGCCTCAACTTTCCCAATATTAATGTGATTAGGTTTTTGTTCTGGACAGGAAAACGGAAGTGTCCACCAGCGTAGCTTATATATATATATATTCTCTGTCCATTATCTCCTCCCCAAATGACAACATTGTGCTTCTGTTATAGTTTCTTATAAGCAAAAAATTTCAAATGAGATACTCTAAAATCTGTGTATCAGGTCATTAATTTACACTCTCTTTTTCCCCAGGTCACTATTGGTCAATTGTATACAGCAGAGAAGCTGGTCATTGAGTGCCCACAAAAAGCATAATTCGGATGCTTTTTTTCTTCAGAAGTAAAGGCCAACTACTGAAAGTTATCAGCACTCTACAACAGGCACAGATTTACATTTAAATGCGTATTACCATCTGTATATATGGCTGAGCTACCTTATTCCTCCGGTTTGAAAATATAAGAATAATTGTATAAAGTATAGTTTTATTATAATTTTATTATTTACGTGCCAATAAAATGGATTGGTTTCATTGTACATGAATGTCATTGTTTGCTCATACATTTTCCTGACAATAAAATATTTGCTCACTTCCTTCTGCTAATGAGATCTGTGCACTTTTTGTCTGGGTCATGAATATATTTTGCAACTCAGGAAATCAGGCTCAAAACCAATTTCTATAAACAAGTCCATTTGAACTTTAGTCCCATTCCAGTACAATTCTGTAAAAAATGTCAATTTCCCACCAGTGTAGCTTACATTTGTTATTATGTGGTCTTAAAATAGAAAATGTTAGAATTTAGGACTCTATAATGACATTTCTGGAGAATGAATGGCCACAAGCATTTATATGTAACCCGCAAATAATCAGGACTCTTTCTTGATCAGAAGAGATTCTCCTAGGGATACGAACTGAAGACCCACACCCTGTTGTTTGCAGCTACAAAAAAATTCCAGTCAGAACTTAAAATTGTTTCAAAAGACCATTTTGTACGCTGACAAAACATGCAAGTGAGAAACAAATTGCTTCACTGTGTTGCTGACTGTAGAATCTTATCTATTTCAAAATTCATGAACCAAAATTAGTCTGTTTGCTATTTCAAAGGTCAAAGACCAATTCCAAATCTAAAAAAAACAAAAACATTCTGAAATATTGCAAAGCAGTCAGATATTTAGTAGCGCATCTGATGAGTGTTACTAGTTATTTAAGAACACACAAAAGTGCCTGTGAGCCATATCAGATAAGTAAATATAACCCCCAAACCATTTCCATCCATAACTCTGGAATAGAGAAATTTGCCAAAGCAAATTTGTAGGTAAGGCAAGCAGCAGCCATAATTGGCCAAGTTTGATTTCTATGCAGGACTGTAGAAACTGAAATGGCAAACTAACTTCCAAGATTATGGATCAATCTAGATTTAGTTTTGTCATAATTTATGTAAGCTTGTGTAAAATATGGTTGTCTTAGAAATCTAGTGGCTTCTAGAAATCAAATGCTATGGGCGCCGTGTTTTTGTAAACCATGCTCAATTAGTAGAAATTCATCACTTTAAGTTCTAGTAAATTGGATCAGTTGCCTCATAGAATGTTTGCTAAAACCACAAGAGCTTCCAGACATGCAAATGCAGGTCTTCTACAATGCAGGATAGTGAAACCATCCAAAATAAGAATTCTATCTTCACATCAAGGACCTGTGTTTCATCAAACAGACCGAGAAAGAATATTCTACATTCCTCCATATTTGTTTATTGAACAGCACTTCCAAATACTTCAAGTAGTTGTTTCAGTCCATTTGAACAGTGTATATTTGCTATGGTGAACTTGGATAGAGACAGTTATACATACTCCAGAATCCCAACCCAGGAATAGATATGGGATGTCCAAAGCTGACATCACCCCCCAAAAAATGTCTTTCACTTGGGGGGACAAATGTAAACAAATTAAGAATATGAAGGCCCAGAAAGACACACTAAAAATTCAGTACAAGACAATAGTATGGTGGAATATACCACTATCTGCATATAATAATTTGCATGAATACAGCTCATGTAAAATTACTGTCAAATATTTTGATTATTTTTCTTAGTTAAGTATACATAAATCATCAATAGCATTTACCTCTGAATAAACATTTCCAGGATTGCAATCTGAATGTCTTCATTCCCAGAAGTTAGTAGCACTAAAGCAGAAAAGCAAAATCTTGTCTGTTTTCAGTTGGATTTCTACTGTTACGAACTGTGATTTTTATAATGAGTAGTGACCAGTTAACTTTAGGAGCACATAGATATGTACATTTCAAATTAATAACAAAAAGTTATCAAAATACCTGAACATGTTAAAGAACATATAACTAAACACTTTAAAAATCTCATGAATTCATCTATAGAAACATAAAACTAAGGAATCCAGTAGTACTATGAAAAATTCTGGAACCAAACTTTCTCTTCTGTCCCTCTGAAAAGTATTCCAACTGAGGAAAATATATGCATCATAAAAATGTGTCTCCTGAAGCAAAAAAAATAAGGTTTTGACATTACTGTGTTCTCAGAATACGGTAGTCAAATGCATTCTTTCAAATGAAATATGTCCAGCCATACAATGTATCTAACCATACTACAATGTATTGGTTTAATTCATTGATTATATTTATCAAAGTCAGACTTGCTGAATATGGCATTTTGGTCCTGCTTTTCTAGTACCCCCAATCCAAATTGGGATAACATTTATTTCTTGATTTGAATTTTAGATCACCATCACTGACTCTCGGGAGCCAACGATCAAGAATAGTAAAATGGCTTGTATCTCTTCATGTGAAAAAGGACTAGCAGCAAAGTACTGTCTATTTGAGGGGAGGGGATTACCAATTCCAGTGCAAATTTTCTCACAGACAAGGGTTGGAGAAAGGATTAAATTCAGGAATATAAGCAAAGTTCAAGAGAAATCCAACTGGAAGCAAGTTATCTCAGCACATCAATGGCAGGAAGAACATTAGGAAAAATCAAATGTATTTTATCTTTCCTTCAAAACATATTTCACAATACTATTAAAAATGTCTCAGATGGCCTGGACTTTTGGCATTTAAAATGAAAACAAACATCACTTCTTAATCTCACCATTCAATGTCACTTTTATTTTGCAGCACATTCTGGATTGGCCCTCTAACCACAGAACAGAACAGAAAACAAGAGAGCAATGGTGATAAAGTAAGTCAAGGCTTTGAACTGAGGTCATTTTTGAAGTCTTCACACACAATTTTCTTGGCAAGAATATGGAATGGTCTGCTACTTCTTTATTTAGTATGTTTTTTCCAAAGGCCCATCATCCTGGGGTTTCCAGAGTTCCCATCCAAGTACTAGCCAACTTAGTTAGCTTCATAGACCAACCAGTGCTGGCTACATACTGAAAAATTTCAATTTCTGTTTGTTTGCTCTGTCTCAGCTTTAACAGATTTAACAGATAATCAGAGTTGGAAGGGACCTTATAGGTCATCTAGTCCAACCCCCCACCCAAGCGGGAGACCCTACACCATTTCTGACAAATGGCAGTCTAATCTCTCCTTGAAAGTCTCAAGTGATGGCGCTCCCACAACTTCCGAGGGCAAGCTGTTCCATTGGTTGATTGTTCAGTCAGAAAGTTTCTCCTTATTTCCAGGTTAAATCTCTCCTTGTTCAGTTTCCATCCATTATTCCTTGTCTGGCCTACAGGCGCTTTAGAAAATAGCTTGATCCCTTCCTCTCTGTGGCAGCCCCTCAAATATTGGAAGACCGCTATCATGTCTCCCCTGGTCCTTCTCTTTACTTGACTAGCCAAGCCCAGTTCCTGTAACCGTTCTTCATGTTTTAGCCTCCAGTCCCCTAATCATCCTAGTTGCTCTTCTCTGTACTTTAACTCAACATCTTTTTTATAATGTGGTGAACAAAACTGGATGCAGTACTCTAGGTGTGGTCTTACTAAGGCTTTATAGAGTGGTATTAGTACTTCCCTTGATCTTGATTGTATCCCTCTGTTAATACAATTTATGATTGCATTAGCTTTTTTGGCTGCTGCTGCACACTGCTGGCTCATATTTAGCTGGTTGTCCACTAGGACTCCAAGATCCCTCTCACAGTTACTGCTATTGAGCCTGGTTTCACCCAGTCTGTATGTGTACTTTTGGTTTTTCTTGCCTAAGTGTAGGACTTTACTTTTCTCTACATTGAATTTCATTTTGTTAGATACGGCCCAGTGTTCTAGTCTGTCAAGATCCATCTGGATCTTGAGCCTATCTTCTAGGGCGTTAGCTATTCCTGCCAGCTTAGTATCATCTGCAAATTTGGTAAGTTTCCCTTCTATTCCCTCATCTAAGTTCAAAACCTGTCAAGAGAATTAATCTCTCTTTCACATAAAATCAATGCTCTGATATTTTAAACACAACAAATAGAAGCAAACACAGCCTTTACTGCTGTTTAATCCATATGGGCTTTAAGAAATCATACAATCTTGACAATCCAATGTAACATCAAGACTTCCTGAAATCCCCCTGCCTCTCCTTTGCAGGTTTGCAAAGGCTTGGTTAAGACACAAAACACCCACATACACCCACAAAGCATTACACCAAAGGCAAGAATTGTCATGTGTAGCAAAGCAGGAATATAATTTATTCATTTTGAAAAACATTTTATTTTCTAGAAAGTTTTGACAGTATTTGCTTAGTGTATTCCCAGTGCATATTTAAAGAAATTCTTACCCAATTCAACGATAACCCTTTCTTCATTTGCTTCCATAAAGGCATTAGAAGCATGTTTGATATTGCTCTCATTTATACATTATTTATAGATTTAACATATTGTACACAAACCAAAGATCTCAAGAAGATTTGTTAGTATCCTCTGAGTATTTTTTCATCAAGACTATGCCCAGGAGACGTGTTTTCTATATTTTGGTAAAACCAGTTTTTACTGGCTTTTACTAAAAAAAGCATATGTTTTTGTCATTTTTTTCTGATTCCTGCTGTGAATGTTTAGATACCACATAAGAGGTTTTGTCCTGTCACATAACCTATCTATCCCCTTATATGTATAATTATTTCAGAGAAGTTATAAATTGCCTTCTTTTCCTGAAATAATACTATCTTACCACTTAAGGCAGTAGTGGCAGGAAAGTTTATGTTGGAAATGAATTATGACTCACTACTGACTGGCACTAATTCAAGTATTTTCTATTCCAAAAGGAATATTTTTTTCAATTTTTCAATTTTTTCATTTTGGGAATAATACTAAGAAGAAATCATAAATCCTACAGGAATTTGTGCATTTATACATCATCGTTTTTAAATGACTAATGATTTTTTTCTTGAATACTGAACAAATAAATGTGCTGCTTCAGCAACAAGAACCTTTTTTCTTTTTTTTGAAAAATTAAAATACTACAAATCAATATGCCTCTTTCCATACTGGCTGTATAGCATTTAAATTTCAATTATAGTCTAATCTTGGTCCCTATTCATCTGCTGAGTGCCCGATTAATATGTACTTTTGTCAATTGGGAGCACCATAAAATTTTAAAGTAATACTCAAGGTTAAAAAAAGAAAGTATATTGTTCATAATGATTACATTCTAAATAGATGTTAATCAGCAAGTAGCTAGAAAAGTTAGGACTGCTGTACACAACAAAAATAAATGCTTATTCCTTTACAGGAATACACCAGCATATGTAGGGGACCCCACCAATATGTAAACAGGCAATACAGCTATTTGAAGGCCACATCTGGCCAAGGCACTTAGGGTTTACACCTGTAAACACCTCCTAATAAAAGATACAATCACAGGACATTACAATTGCAAAACTTGAAAAAGCAGAGCTTTTATCTTCTCTTATAATCTCCTTTCACCCTCACCCTCACCCTCATAAAATGTGGCATTTTATACAGTATTTCTCTCCCAAATACTCGTAGGAGAAAATTAGTTACTTCAAACTACCAAGCCTGTATATCTGTATCTTTCAAGAGTTCTAGAAACTTTTCTAAAGTTTTTTCCCCCTAAAAGAAGCTGAGAATGACTTATTTAAAAAGATCCCAAGTTTAGAAAAGTATTTTTGGAATCTCTGAGATTCTTCATATGCATTAGATTTTTCAACATTCTGGATTCCTAGACTACAGGCAATAGTGTCCAAGGATTCTGCAAATTGGAATCCGAGGAATTTAGAATGCAGAACATTATCACATATACCTGCAGTTTTGTCCTCGAAAGGCAAATATTCAAATGTGTTATTTTATTTAAACATTTATATAGCCACCCATCACGTAGCCAACTCTGCGCAGTTACATATGAAGGGAATTACATTAAGGAGACCTTAATTCAACCTGATTGCTAAACAGTTTTTTTACCACTTAGTTGCGGAGATCTGAAAGAAACTATTCAACTAATCAACAATTTACTTAACTGTTCCTTTAAAATTGCAATTCAGTGTTGTGCATTCCATCTATCACTGCCAGGTAAGTTTTTAAACTTCATGAACTGATTTGGATATATAGAATCTGCATTTTAAAGAATGAAGTAATCATGAAGCAGAAAATCATGTTAGTTGTATTTGCAATTCTCACTACTTATGGCTAACTGATAGAACAGCCAAAGACCCAAGAGAGTAGCTATCAATTTACTTGTAATAATTTTATAGACGGGGACATTTCAATGGGGAGGGGGGGATGCAAGTTGCATTTAGATACTGTTGTACCTCATTTTCCTTTGGTCACAGTCTAGGCATATACAAGAGTCAACCTACTAATAGTCACTCAGATTTGAGTTCTCACATACTTAGTTCACAGCTTATACAGATCTCCAAACAGAATATGAATTGTTCTTAAGACATGTGATCCCTGGATAATGGAGCAGACATTAAAATTTTCAATGCAAACCATGCACCATTTCTTCAAGACCTGGTCAATTTCTGCTAGGAAGTGTAAATAATCTTTAAGTAGTTTCCAACACACCTCTCTATCACTTACCCTTTATAGACTGATAGATTGCATAAAGCTTTGTTCTAAGGCACAACAGGCAAGGGGGAAAACCCATTCAAACGTTTTTTTTTTTTCAACCTTGCTCTAGTTATCCAATTCCCAGAGAAGTGTTCTGAATTCGAGCAGCATTCTTTCAGGGTTTGTAAGAAGTCACTACCTAAAATAGGAAGGATCAGCCCAAATCAACAGATGGCTTTAAAGGGGGCAAAGTTCCAATCCTACTGTAGGTTCATTCTCTTTTTCATGCCCAAAAGTGGATATATCCCCACTCAGATACCCATGCCCGCCAAGGAGACTTCACCAGAACTGCTATCCAATGCGTCTTAAAGCACATTCTCGTTTTCCAGGCCAAACGTGCCAGAAACATTCAATATTCTTGTGCAACAAGGCAAATGCATGCTTCCCTCTCCTAAGCCGGACCGCGATTCTCCCATTCGGCTGCCTCTTCGGTCCAACTTGAAGCCCGCAAGGCTTGGCGTGCCGATGACTAAAGTGCGACGGTATGGCCGGCTATCTCAAGTTTGGACCGCTAGAAAGAAGGGGGCACAAAGACAAGTCGTGGAAAGGTTCAGCCCTTAGGACGCTGTGCTGCAGGACTCCGGGAGATTGTAGTAGTAGTAGTAGTAGTAGTAGTAACAAGGCAACTTAGGCTGGTTTCTGGAGCAATTTCAGGCTCTCGCAAGAGCCGCCCGGCACCCGCCTCCCGAGTCTCCTCATCACAGGGGAGTTGCTGACTTCTCGGAGCTGCAATCGCGGAGGGTATAGTTGGCCCCGCCGTTGTTGTCCCAATGCTCCCCTTGCTGGCTTCGATAGCAGATAGCGAAATGCACGGCCGTCCCGTCCGGCAAACCAGGAGGAAGGCAGAGGGAGAACTGGTAACGCTCGACCGGAGCGGAGGCATCATCCGGAGGGTCCCCCCCATCGGGGAGCAGCAGAGCCACAGAGTCTAGGAAAGAAAGCCACTCGTTGAAGGTGTAGCGCACCGTCACCTCCTTGGAGCCGGGGCAACTGCGCACCCTCACCACGCCGCGCACGTCCGTGGGCGCCCCGGCCAGCGCCGTCCCCGTCACCTCCTCCAGGCAGACGCGGCCCCGCCGCAGACGCTCCTCGGCGCCGTTTTCCTGGTCCGCCCCGTCCAACGGGGGCGCGAGCCGGAGCGGGACCTGAGGCGGCGGCCGAGGAAAAGACGACGACGACGACGCGCAACCCCCCAGCTCGGCCAAGGCGGCGGTGAAGTCCTCGAAGTCCCTCTGCCTCATGGGGAAGCTCTGCAAGCGGGACAACACGGCGTGGGGCACCTGCGGCTCCTCGGCCGCGCTGTAATGCTTCACGCTGGCCAAGCACAAGCCCAGGGAATCGGCGAACTGCACCCGCTTCTTGCACTTGGTGCAGCAGCCGCCGCCGCGGAGGCTCCCCGTCGGCAAAGCCGCCCCGTCGTCCTCCTCATCCTCGCTCCCGTCGCTGTCGCCCGGCGGCCGCCTCCTCTGGAAGAAACGCGCCGCTGCCAAAGACTGGCTGTCCGGCAGCGAGAAGGAGCGGCCGCGGCGACGGCGCAGCTCCAGCAGCGCCTCCTCGTCCTTCTCCCGGGCGGCTGCCCCAGGGCAGTCCCGCTGTTGCTGCCGATTCTCCGCCGCCGTCGCCTCCTCCTCCTCCTCGGCGTCTTCTCGCCATGCTGGGGCTAAGGCGGCTTCTTCGTTGGGCTGGTGCTCCCCGAAGGGAGCAAAAAGTTGCCCCAAACTCAGGACTGCCGAGCCGCGGTTCTCCATTGCATGGCGCCGACGCTACGCCAAAGCTCCCGCCTCGGGAGAAGCCAGCTTGGCTTTTTTTATTCCCGTCCCGTTTCGGGGCTCCGTGGGCGCCGCTCCGTTTCAAAGTAGGTCGCTTTTTGTGTAGGGGAGGCCAAAAAAAAAAAAAAAAAGTCCCTCGGACGAGGAGGCGCGCCCCCTTTTTCCCCTCGCCTTTCTCCCTGCCCCTCCCTCCGAGGAAGGATGGGGCGGGGCGGGACCTCCCACAAGAACCCGTCAGGAGGGGGAAAAAGACATTCGCCTCAAGCTCAAAGGCACGTAGCCATTCCGCGCGGCAAATTGGGAAGCGGGCGGGCGCGGGTCACTCTCCTGAGGAAAGTGTGTGTGGAGAGGGGGGGGGTGTTAAATGGAATATGATAATTTGAGCGGGAACGAGACCTCCCCTCGGGCGGGGCCGAATGGTTTTAAAGCCCTGCCCAGTTTCCTGACGCGGTAGGCGCGGCCTTGCCGCGCCCCCTTCCCCCCACCCCCCATATGGCATCTCTGCAAGGTTGAGAAGAGTTTTGGGGAGTGAGGAGCTCCCGGAGAGGAAGTGAAATAAGAGAAGCCTTTTTCTCCACAGGAAACTCTTTTCCTGGTTCAAGCCCTTAGTCCAGGGGTCTCCAACCGTGGAAACTTTAAACCAGGTGGACTTCAACTCCCAGAATTCCCCAGCCAGCTTTGCTGGTTAGGGAATTCTGGGAGTTGAAGTCCTCCAGGCTTAAAGTTGCCAAGGTTGGTGACTCCTGCCTTAGTCAACCACCGCGTTAGCTGCCACCCCCTTCTTCCTCGTCTATTCTTTTCTCTTTTGCGATTGGGGAATTTTTGGGGGGGGGGGTCAGTATGTTGGCTATAAGCCTTAAAGTAGACAATTACTATGCATTGAACTGGAAAGGTTTATTGGCGATTCTTTTGCACTTTATGGCCAGCCGAATCACTGCAGAAAAGGAGATGGGAGAGGAGATGGCTGGGTTCAAAAATATCTGAAAATCGTCCATGGGATCCCTCATAGCTTGGCTCCTGCTGGATACTGACAGGAACACTATTCCCAAAAAGAGTCGACTCACCCACATGTTCTAACAGATGGGTTCACCAAGCAACTCCTGCCCTGGGCCAAATGAGATGAATGGGACCCCTGAATATGTGTCTTCTAAATCAGGGGTCTCCAACCTTGGTAACTTTAAGGCTGACAGACTTCAACTTCCAGAATTCCCCAGCCAGCAAAGCTGGCTGGGGAATTCTGGGAGTTGAAGTCCATCAGGCTTAAAGTTGCCACGATTGGAGATCACTGTTCTAAATTATTGTCCCACACAACTAAAGTACATTCTCCTATTTGTGGTACAGTCTGTAGCATCCTGGCCTTTAGCAAGATTCCCAAAATGTGTCCGTTCTATATAATTTGGGGTGTACACTGGCATCAGGGCCTTTATTTCTCTCACTTGTCCTGTATTTTTGGATTTTCTTGATACTATTCACTGCAAATTGCTTTGTATTGATTGAAGGAAGTGTGCAGTACAGGTATATCTCAACGACCACGACTGGGTCCAAAAGTTCTGTTGCTAAGCGAGGCATTTTTAAAGTCATTTTTAATGACCTTTCTTGCCACAGTTGTTAAGTGAATCATGCAGCTGTTAAGCTACTAGCACAGTTTTTAAGTGAATCTGGCTTCCCCATTGACTTTGCTTGTCAAAAGGTCACTAAAAGTGATCACAACCATCATAAATATGAGCCTGTCATGTGACCATGAGGATGCTACAGTGGTTATAAGTGTAAATGGTCATAAGTTTCTTTTTTCAGGATCTTTGTTACTTCAAATAATCGCTATATGAACTGTTGTAAATTGAGGACTACCAGTATCTGTATATAAAATGCAACATAAATAAACATTTCTTATTGGGCTTTTGACTAAAATAATGCGTAGTGTATTAGCATTACACATTATTTATATAGCATAAAGCAATAATAAAATTGTTTTTTCTAAAGTGATACATATGACAGCCCAAAACTAGTCCACACAATGCTTTTTTGTGTATGTTAACAGTCCTAACTCTCCTTGAATCGTTAAGAGGGATGCACACATGTAAAAAGGAAACAGGTTCAGCTGCACTATTGTAGCCATCCTCTTGACTTTTTTTACCCCTTCTCCCATAGACGGCATTGTACATTTATTTTAGTTATTATTTATTCATCAAATTTGTATTCCATCACAGGACTCTTGGCAGCTCACACAATAGGAGAGAATATTTGTACCTCAAGTTGAACTGTGGGATCCTAGGTGCTTTCTGAGCTTGGTTGTTTTCTTGCAGATGTTTCACTACCCAACTACCTAACATCATCAGCACTCTTGCATCAGCACTGATAATGTTACCTAGTTTGGGTAATGAAACATCTGCAAGAAAACAACCAAGTTAAGATTGTACCATAAACATGGAACAAATAAACCCCCAAACACAACTTTGGCATCAAGGCCAAAGGCTCTCCAGAAAAGCTCTTATCTTCAACTTTTCCTCAACAGCATTTCCGAACAGCGGTTCCTCTGTAAGGTGTCTTTAAAGGCAACTCCATGTAAAGCATATTGCAGTTGTCTAATCAGGTGGTGATCAGGCATGAAAATGATAAGTAGATATTATCTTTAAAAACTAAATAACAATTCATATCTGGCAGTTGTTTGCAACAATGAAAGGAATGAGAGTTCTAGACTTGCTAATGAAACAAATCACTGGCCCCAGATGTATCTATCTGAACTTTAGTGACTTAATTTCATTTCTTCAAAAACTCTTAGGGGTGCAAATTTACTATCTTATGCAACTGCATTTTTGTGTGGGGGTCAAACAACAGCCCCCAAAGCAGTTTGTTGGACATGAACTTGGAGCAGTATCAAAAGTACTATTTTCTTTCTTCAAATCTGAAATGGCTGGTTTTCTAAAAAGATTATAAAGTATGCTTCCTAAATCAGCCTTTATTCTTTAGGATGACAAAGTGATGTGATTTACTGACTTAATCAAATGTATACAACAGCCCAACTCAAGCAACTCTAGGTAGCTTACAATATAAAGCAGTGGTCAAATGTAGGTTAATCAATGGCTTGGGTTTCAATACTATCTAGTGTAATCCCATGTTTTAACATGCTGTGTGAGCTAGTGCACATTCATGTCTTATGATTTTTCAGTGAGCACTTGGCTGACTACCAAACACTGGATTGAAGAGGTCTTTGATTTTTGATGTACAGCTTCTCCTTCAAAACTGAATACAGTGGAGAACTTCTGTGTACTGTAATTTCTATGATAACCAGCTTCTTCTATTTGTTCCTCTGTAGACTTTTAGGATACTAACTAATGTGCATTGCTCATGTTAGCTAGAACAGGGGTCCCCAACCACCGGTCCGCGGACCGGTACCGGTCCGTGGAACAAGTCCTACTGGGCCGCTGGCTTGCTGGGCGCCGCCATCTTTTTTTGATGAAAAAGTGCTTTCGGTGAGCTTTTCTGGGTAGAAAGCTCACCGGAAGCACTTTTTCATCAAAAAAAGATGGCGGCGCCCAGCTAATGCCGGTACCGGGCCGCGCCAAAAAAAAGGTTGGGGATACCGGGCTGCGGCGTAAAAAAGGTTGGGGATCACTGAGCTAGAACACAAAACAGACTGCCTTTATAATTGCAAATCTTTCACTTAAGTATTCTGACATTTGCAGTTTTAATTTATGCATAACCACTGGTGGGATTCAAAAATTTTTAGTTCTGGTTCTGTGGGTATGGCTTGGTGGGTGTGGCTTGGTGGGCATGGCAGGGGAAGGATAGTGTAAAATCTCAATTTCCACCTCAATCCAGGGGAAGGATACTGCAAAATCTCTCCATTCCCACCCCACTCCAGGAGAAGGATACTGCAAAATAATGCTCTCTCGCCAGCGCCGTCTCCAATAACAGCAGTAGCAGCGGCGGGAATCGTGGAAGTTACGGAGGCGTCTCCCCCACCTGAGAAGCAGCTAAAACTCTTCCATGGTTCCCGCTGCTGCCGCCGCTGTTATTGGAGACGGCGCTGGCGAGAGAGGGACAGCTGCAACTCGGCCTGGGCGCTTGGAATGCAGGAACGGGCTGCGCACCGGGACTTTTGCAAACTTGCAGAGCCTGAGGCTGGAGCACCAAGGGTAGCAGCAGCAGAGACGCTCGCTCGGCTCTTCTCACGCCCACCCAGCCTCTCGGGATTAAACCAAAACGCAGCGTGCGGTGCTCCCAGGTACCTCAAAATCTTTTTTTTCCTGTTGTTACAGGGATGGGGGGAAAGCGGGAGCAACTCAGGCGCTGGTGTTGGAGACGGTGCTGGTGAGAGAGGCGCCAGCACCGTTGAGAACCATGGAAGCTACAGAGACCTGAGAAGCAGCTGAAATGCTGCTGGACATCCACGCCGATGCCGCCCGCCTGCTGACCCGGGTAAGGGAGGGGTAAGGGAGCCCTCCGTGCTCCACCATGGTGTTAGGAGTGGCTGATGGTGAGGCGTAGGTGCCCACGGGGCACTCCTAATGGCAAATTCCCCCCCCCGCCTCCCCCCCCAATTTTGCATGTTTTAAACTAGGCCTAAATTTGGGGGGAGGGGCTTAATTTCATTTTATGCCTAGAAAACATGCTGGGTCTTCCTATTGGGGGGGCGTATTGTTGGAGAAACACAGTATCATACTACTAATGACAGCATACAAAACATTTGCTAGACCTATACTTGAATACAGCTCATCAGTCTGGAACCCATATCATGTATCTGATATTAGCACAGTTGACAAAGTCCAGAAATATTTCACAAGAAGAGTTCTCCGCTCCTCTACTCATTGCAGAATACCTTATGCCACCAGACTTGAAACTCTATACCTAGAAAACCTAGAACTACGCCGCCTCTGGTCCGATCTAAATATAGTATATAAAATCATACATTGCAATGTCCTACCTGCAAATGAATACTTCAGCTTTAATCATAACAATACAAGAGCACACAATAGATACAAACTCAAGGTTAACCGCACCAAACTTGACTGCAGAAAATACGACTTCAGCAACAGAGAGGTCAATGTTTGGAACACCTGACTGTGGT